AAATAAATACAAGGGAAGAGAGACGGGGAGGAAAAGGGGACAGATTAGATGCTGAATTGTGGAGTTCATTGTACGCCGAACCGCTCCGTCTCCAACCACCCGTGAGCCTCGAGACGACCCCCCTTCTTTTTTTTGTTCTGAGAAAACTGTGTTTGCCAGCTTCCAGTGGTGACACAAACACTGCATCGTGGCAGCTCTCAAAAGCTTTCTGTCAAATGACACTTGCTCCTTGGCTTTTTTGTCAAATAAGAGATCGTTTTAGTTATCTTTTCTTTTCTTTTTTCCCATCACAACAACAAAGACCTTTACACAGTTGTTCAAAATGATGACGAGTAGTCTTGTAAATTATGTTTGTGCCAGTTCATTTCCCTGAATTTGTGCTGCAGCCCACGTGATGCCTGACCCTTCTGGACTGCAGAGTTGGGCTCACACTAAAGAGACTGATCAAGTGTACGGTGCAACCATGTGTATACACACTTAGATTAGATCTTTAATCTCAAAAATTGAATTTCTTCCCATTGCTAATAAGATGTCATGTTCAAATTCAATATGTATTTTATGCTTAAAATGTTTAAGTAAGTGGCAGCACTTGAATGTATCTTAAGACTGCTTAAAAAAACTTGCAAAACTATAAATGGCTACTAGATTAATCGAAATATGCAGCTATAAAAAAAGTTAAAGGATTCATCACTGTATATAAGCCATAAAAGATTTGAAACTGCTCTGAAAAATGAATGGCAAAATAGCTTAAATAGCGTGAAGTAGTGTTTAGTCAGTTTGAGCGTAGTTAAAGATGAAGATAAAAATCCTTGACCATGTGTGCCTACAATTCTAAGCATAAAGAAGCAATAACCAAAACAGCATTTACAAAAGAAAAGCACAAAAAAGGGAGAAAGGGTATCCTTGCTGCACAGCTTTCTGCTAGTTCTGCAGAAAGCTATGTTTAGACATAAATGCTAATTCGGCAAGTTAGCCACCCAGAATCCGCTCAGTAGGTCTGCAAACAATTAAATCAGTTAGCAGGCAAGCTACGGTTAGCAAGCTGTGTGACTCTGTTGTGTTTTATAACATTTGCTGATAAAGACATTTTACAATGAATGGCTATTTAATGAGCACTTTGGTTGAATTAGCTGATGTTATGTACTTTGCTAAGTTAGGTAGCTGCCTTTTTTCAGTATCTTGGTAGGTAATGTTAGCTTGCCTGTGAACCAGGCTGGATGCTAACAACCTAGCTTAACCATATGTTAAGTTGAATGAATTGAAAGCTATTTTTAGCTGCTCCCTTATTCACAAGGAGTCCTCCACAGCAGGTAGCTCGGTACTGTTTGATTTGTGTCTCCCAGAATCACACTGAGGTACTTTTACTTGTTAGACAAATGTGCAAACCATGTTGAGTAGCTAGTTGGGCTAACTCCCAGGGGTTGGTTAGGTAATAAATCACTATTGGATAATTACTTCATTAGCTAAAGTTACAAAATAGCCAATATGAAATTCAAAACCATGTTTTAGGTATTTTAATTAGCTTTAGCTTGTTTTCTCATAGTTTTTACAATCAAAATACTATAAGTCATGAGAGTTTTATTGTTTGTTTTTGTGCCCATGTGAAGTTTTTGATTAAGTTTTTTAAGTTCAAAGAGCTGTTTGATTCTTGACATTAGTAGAATTCTTAACTTTATTGATTCCATACTGAATTGCCACTATGATGAAGCCTCGAGTTGAACAGTTGTCTCTGTTGTATGGTTTATGTCAATGAAGAGTGTGGCTTTCAGGTAAGAAACTTGCCTGATGGGGCCAAGAAATTATAACTGTTTAGTTTGTATTTAAATATAAACTAAGCACAAAAGACTAACCTCTAATCACACACTGGCACTTCTAGATAATGCCGAAAGAAATTTATGCAAGCCTCGGTAATATGGTGGCCTTACTTGTAGAGTGGGATATCAGGCTCCTTGCCCTCCGTTCTCAGGGTCAAACAACACTGCTGCAGCTGAGACTTGGGGTCGTTCCAGTCCTGGTTCAGAATGAACTCCTGCAACACACAAACAACACACACACACTTGTGACCAAACTATCCCTCTTCACCCACTCATTTCAAAGAATCAGAAACAATGAAAATGAACTGCAGTTACAACCGTTCTCCTTCACTCCTTCATGCTTTTATTTCATTCCTGCCATCTCCAAGCTTTTACCCCCTTTTGGACTTATTTGCGCTCTCTCTGACTGGCTCTCCATCTATGTCTTGGCGGTGAGCACAAATCACAGGCTACTTAAGACAAAAGCCAATCCCCGGCCAGAAATAAAGAGCGTCTGGGAGTCTCCCAGGTGTGCAGCTCTGATACATTTCTCTTATCCAAGGGGGACTTCTAAAAGCCCTTCCATTAACAGGGAAGCAGCCTTGTCATAAAAAGGCAGACTTTGAATCCAGAACTGTCTGCTCCTATTAATTTTCTACAAAGAGTGCTTCTGCTTCTCTCTCGCTTTGCAGCTCCCTCGCAGCCCCTCCATCTCTACTGTTCTTGCTTTCGTGCTTTGCTTCCCCTTCTTCCTCCTTTCCGGTTTTCCTCTCTCCGGGGGGCGTCCACACTCCTTTCGCTGAAGGCTGAGAAATTTGGCTGTAGCTTATAGCCTACCTCTTGTACATTTCGAGTGCGGTGATGTATTCACTCTCATGCAAACACCTTAACATGCATAATGGAGGGAAGAAGAAAAAAAAACTGCGAACATAAGGAAAGGAGCATTTATGTTCCCGGTTTTGCTTCTCTATTTCCATCTAAATTGGATGAAGCAGCACAGTTTGCAACACTGTGGTTTCCAGAGGGCTATGTATGGAGACATGCTGGCTGTTTCACAACTTTTCTCTTGGAAGTGGAAATGAGGTGCTCTCTTGCAGCGACCATGACGCAAAGCTCAGCTCCTCTAGAGCTGGGGATTCTCCCTGGAGAGGCACACCAAGACAGCAATTAGCATGGCATATCAGACCGCTGCAGCAGCTTCACAAGGAGAGGTCCGCGCTGTGTGGGAAACTCGTACACGAGCACGCGCGTGTGTACGGACGCCCGGTTTCAGTTTGTGTCTTTTCACTGCAGCAGCGGTAATAAAGGGAAAAACGGAGCTCTTCTATCTAAACTTAGACTTGAGCACTTAAGGATATAATGCCCGTCCTTCCTTAGGCGCATCTCGCCATTGAAGCTTTGACTGAAGCCTACTTATTCAGCTCTCGCAACGCTCCAGAAGTGGATACCGTCAGCAACTTCAAGCACTTCTCGGATCAATAGAAAAACACAGACGACTAACATTAACAAGCCAATGCATGCATCCCAACGCCGTTGAGATTCCCATTAAAGATGACTAAAATAGCCACCCAAGCCGCCATTGTGAGAGGCATTCAAAAGCCAAGCACCACTTCAGGCCTCGCGTCGATGCTAGTGCCATTAGGGCCCCTCCTCATCATCTCCCCCCCAGTTCGCTCGTTCTCCGTCTCTCTCTTAGGTGCTTGGCTCAGCAGCTCATTGATCAGGTGCGAGCGGTGAACGGCTATCAATAGGGACTCACCTTCAGTCGAGGGAAAAAGCAGACGTTCATGAATGTGTGCACGTACTCCAGGTCTTTATCAATGTAGAGAGCTGCGATGAAAGCTGCGAAAACAAAAGAGACAGAACGCCTTTTTTAAACGAGAAAAAAAAAAGGAGGTGGGTGCTTTGCTTTGTTTAACAATCAGCTCCATTTCTGCTTGTGTAGTAAATAAAACATTAACAAAGACCAGAAGAGAGACCAGAGGAGCGGCCTCCCTCGGCGAGGGACGTGATGTTAATGTTAACAATTGGAAAAGATGGCTCTGCAGCCGACTGTCCTTTTCTATCACACAGGAAATTGGAACTACAAGGGCCACACAGAGTTCAGAGAAACATGTCATATATAAGATAAAATTGTATGTCAAGCTGAATAAATAACTGGCGGCCTAACTGCTCTGAGAAAAAAAAAAAAAAAATGTAAGCAGAAGGTGCTGGGTGTCATCTTCATCTCATGGCTGTCCCTTTGTTTCCCCCTTCTATTAGATGCCACTGCATTCACTCATCCCTGTGACTAAGACAGTGGGACATGAGAGAGAAATAATAGGTAATATATTTCAGGAGGCCAGTGAGGGCCCGCTGTAGCTGCAGGGCACAACCGTTCATATACAGAAGAGCTGCACTCATCTCCAGCGCTGCCCCGCGTCCTCTTCCCGTGTCATCAACTCTGCTCCGCTGCAAACTTTTGAGGGATGATTTGAAAGGCAAATGACATGAAGCCCCGTGTTGTTTTGTGATTCATGCATTATGGACCGTCTATTGAACGCTGGCCTGAAAAACATTAGTGCTTTTTAGTCTTTTTTTTCCTCATTTAATCTACCAAACTGGAATGGCTCATTTTCTATTCCCTTTGTATCACAGTTCCTGTCCCTGCCTGCTCCCCCCGTTGGCCTAATGTGGACCGCGAAAGGTCTCCTCCAATTCTCTGCTTCCATTCTCCCTCTGCATGCAAATCCCTGCGCTCATGTTCAGCTTATACCTTCCTATAGTCCACCATGAACTTCCTTTAATTGCAGGATTGAAATCAAGTGAATGTTATCTCTAGCTTAATTTATCGGATTTGATGTACACCTAGGTGCTTGAGGGTTGAGGGACATTTATGTGTGATGGGTAGGTGATGAAAAAAAACTCGAGATCTGCCAGAAGAATCTGTTACAGCCCAATCAATACTGGAATTTATTAAGGGCCAAACCCTCGCAGATAAGCTGATCTGAACACCAGCTCACGTCAGCTTATAAAGCGTTTTATTTAAGCTCCTCAGGCCTGTCTGTGCAAGCCGCTCAGCAACCCCCCTTGAGTAGGGCTGTATCGGGTATCAACCATAATCAAATTTAGTGATCAATTTAATTAAAAATACAGTGAATCTGCCTCGCTGTCGTTTCATTTGGCATCTTCATTTATAACTTGTAAGACAGACATGTATATTTCTGACTACTGGCTTGATTTTTAAACGAGAGCTTGATGTTAGTGCACTTGCAGAGGCCTTTGTTTATTTCATCTTCTTATCTCCGCCCCCCACTGGGCGCTATCGTGGGTGGAAAATTCTGCTGTGTGTGCGGAGATCATGACACAAAGCGGAGAAGACAGGAATGAACTATTTTAAACACAGAAAATAGACTGGATGAGTTAGGAGAACTATAGGTCTAAAGTAAAGAAGTAAAGAGCCGTGCAGATGTTATATATCTGTTTGGGCTGACATCCGTCCACTTATGTTAATTAATTGCAATAAAGCCATTTATCGTACAGTATGTCAACATGTAAGTGTCTCTTCATGCTGGAAGTGAGAAATAAACTCTTTTCCCTGCGTGTTGTGGAGTTTTTCTGTGTTTGGGTCACACATTGTACATTACGGTGGGTGGATAATGGGTACATGTTAACCTCCTCTGCCTCCCACACAGGTGGTGCTATCGGTCATCAGCGATCGTCCAGAGGGACAATAGGATGATCGGACTGTGGAGCACAAAGCCCAACCCACCCTCCACCCCAGGTTCTCTATTTAACCCTTTAAAGCCGGTCTGAGAGGGCACGCTCCGTTAGAATAGACGTCAGCGTGAACTATCGCATGTCCGCCATGACCTGCCCGAAACCGGAACTGACGTCATTTTCGCGGAAATGTATTTTTTTACCATCAGGGCCTCATGAGCCTATACTGGTGTTTTTAAAAGTTATCTTTGACTTTATGACTTTCTGTGTCGTTTCTGGGATGCTTAGGACTCATATTGCACTGCTGGAAATAGTTTATTTTGATGCATATGCTGCTTTTTTGCAAATTTGCATTATAATATTTATTTTAGTTTTTCCTGCAGTGTATAAAAATTGGTGTATTTCAAAAATAAAACTATGAAGACACTCAAAATAAATTTCCTGTGGTGGGAAACTATTTTGTGCAACTTTTTTGTATTTACAGTTTTGAGGGATAAGCTTCTTAAATTTCTCTAACTAGAAATATATTTTAAAAAAAACAACAATGATTTTCAATTTTCTTGTAGTTTATTGCACTTTCTTGCAATTTATGTAATTACTATGCACTTAATGCAGACATATTATTAAAATCTGGGCTATAATGGTTGTATTGATGTATATCAACTTGAAATGCTCCCAAAAATGACACTACAGCATGTAAAAATATAATATAAGCTCTGGCGGACTTGGTTCTATGGTAGGTCTTAAAGGGTTAAAGAACCACATCTACTGTCATTAATGCTCTGCTTCTGTTTTCCATGGATGTCTGTGGAGGTCCGGTCCCCCAAAACGGCGCCGCACCACCAAATTTAAGTTGCTGCAGGTAGAATAACAATCCTCTTACAGTTTAATGATATGCACTTGTGCTACTATATCATACGAATTTAGTATGTTTATGTAGAAAATTACATTTTACATGTGAAAAAATAAATCTGTCAGCGTAATGCAGTGGACGAAAGTATCGAGCACGACGGAGAGACAGCTTCTTAATGGCCTCCAGCATATATTTCCCATACAGTAATGGCATGTTTCCAATAAGTTACTATGGGCTGATTTATTTGCCTAGTTGCTTGTTGGCTGTTTCCTGGTTGTGATGGAGAGTGGCCTAGAAAAGGGCCATGGATTTCTAATTCGCTTGTCAGAAAAGAGTCTCAAAAGCACCGGTGACACGGGCTGATCCCTGACAGGCTTCCCACCCACAAACTCTACCAGATGAGTTTGACAGAACAGAAGTACCACACTGATGGACTGAACTCTCCTCACTGTGGCAGTGCCCCTGTTTACACCTTAAATAGCAGGTAAAATTAACATAGGTCCTTATCACCAGAGCCACAGTAACAAGACTAAAATGCACAAATATGACCAAAATCATGAAAACCAGGTGGTCCAACACTAATTATATTATACTCGTACTTATTATAATTTATACATACTAAAATAGATTTGAATGACAGTGGCAGGTGCTGCCTACTCACTGCCAGCGCCCTGGGGCACATTATTTTTCACTTCTTTGTTATTTCTATTTTTCTGTTTAGCTAATCATTAAAAACAAACTCACTCTTTGTGTAAACACCAGAGAGACAAAAGCACAAACCCACCACTTTTGAAGCACATATATTGGCTGTATTTTCAGCGTTTTAATCTTTAGTTGTGAGACACGCTGTCATGTGTGGTGTCAGTATCCATTTCCTGGTCATTTCCACACAGAATCCAGTTGCAAATCGTGGGGATTAACTGCCCACTGCCACTGATAATAACCAGAAATACCAAAATGTCTATTAAAGCAGGAGCAGAATAATCCAACTGGACAATTCACCGATTGTTTTATGCTTAGCTGTGGCCCCATAAACATTGCAGAGAACACAAAAATAGCTGCCATGGTAAGAAAACTCTATTATCTATAATACTGCAAGTAATATGGGTTGTTATGGATATGTATGAATGAAGTCGTGGGCCATATCTAAGAGACAGAAAGCCATCTCTATAACAGACTGAAGAGCACAGTGATATTACAAACTCCATGTCTGGAAAAGACTTTATATTGGTGGTGCTATTTAAGCTGCTTTGCATCCCACCTGTACCCCAGCAGCAGGCCAAGTGGGGTAATCCAGACATTCAGCAACAGTTTCCAGACTTTCCCAAGCCAGATGAAATATATCATATTTCCAGCGGGTTTGGGTCCATCCAGAAATCCTCCAAAGCAGCAGTTCCCAACCTTTTTTGCACCACACACCGGTTTATGTCTGACAATAGTTTCACGGACCAGACTTTAAGGTATCGCGAATAAATACAACAAAATAAAACCGGTACCTCAAAAAAAGAAGATTTATTCCTAACACATGGGAAAAAACCTAGGCAAACCGAGTTAAC